CAAAAATATGATCGAACATAACTAAAATATTTCACGAAAGATAGGAGGGTTACGACCTCATTGGCGCCACTGCCCATTATTCTTGCCGATTGATAAGCCATCTGAACGAATTACTGGAATTAGCTCCAAATTTTATTATAATCATTTTAATTTGGCCACCGCTTTGGTTTTATATTTTGCGAAATTCTGTTTTAATTATGAACATCTAAATCGATATCGGTAAGCGAATTCCGAATTCTTTATTTTTTAAAGTTTTATTTGTGATAATACAATATTTGTTCTACGTTTGTATAAACCTTTATAATATGCCTATCTATACTTAGTGAGCCATTGAAATAGCGTTTTTATAAATGATATAGAATATATACAAGTATCTACATATATCACAAAATAAAAAAGTTATCCCTACAAATATTTGATAGATTTTATTATTTATATTAGGATGTATCCTACTTTTACCTCTAAACCAAAAGCAAATAAAATAATTAAATCCAAAAAAGTTTTAAAAACAAAACAAAGTCGTGTGAGTTATTATCCTCATTATACATAAGGTGTCTATTTAATAATGACCTCAAGATTGCAAGGTGAATTTAAAAAAAAACTGCTAAGCATAGGTGGCATAGGTCACTATAATATCCAACCCGCAAGAGGTCAAGGCTGTTAGGACCGTTGCCCGTTATAAATACTACGATGTAATTATGTTACGTTAGTTAGTGATTATTAATAAATATTTTAAACTTATTTATATGTTAGTTAGCTTAATGCTATAGACATATCTTCTCAAAATGTATTTTACATTACTTTACTGTCATATGCCATAGCCGTACTTCTGGAACGATAGCAATATAAAAGTTCACAAAAGTTAAGAACAAAATAAAAAATTAAAGTCCTCAAAAGTTAAGTTGAACACTAATTTGCAATTACTAGGTTATAAGTTACCAGCTTATATTAAACTAATTGTACTTATCATATTAAAAATCACTTTTAATGTGGTTCTTTTTTCTTTTCAATTAAAAACCGCCTTTTATATGTAAGATAAGCATCGATCAGACGGATCTAACATTTAAAGTTGTTTCTTTAATTATTATTTTACAAGAAAATCAATTATGTCACGACCTGTTTAATCTAACTACACGAAAAGGACGTGGATAAGTCACAAAGTTTCCTAACAGATTATTTAAAATAAACACACACGTAATCACACTCACACTAGGATTTTCTCCTGTGTAGTGGGAGGTTTACATAGATAAATTGCACAAGTACAAACATCCAGAACCGGAACAATTATATACAGGGTTAGTTTGAAATAACCGTCCAAATTTGCAGAGAAGGTTCAGAATAACTAATATAGGCAAATGATGAAGGAAAATTAATTAAAAAAATCTCAAACAGTCTGTCCTCTTTACCTTAAAAACCTTTTTACTATAAAAAAGTTAAATGCGTGGTAATGCATTGTTTTGACTGATTTTACTGCGCACGCACACATTCGTATAGGTCGATTGGTAGGCAAAAATATTGTTGCCCATAAATCACATTCAATTTGGGATAATTTGAAATAAAAGTAGAAGCCTTATTTACTCGTATTTTCAAAAACTGCAATAACGGTATATCATTATTTATATATTTAAACTTAAGTTTAAAAATTGGCTACTTTTTAAAAATAACCCTGTATAGGATAGTAACCCGCGGCCCTCTGCGGGACAACTCAATGCTAAGACACTGCCATTGCCTCAGTGCTAAACCACGGACCCGTCAAATAGATGTTACTAATAATAGTTTTAGTAACCTAATGAGAGTTTATATTTTAAAACATAACATTCTATAATAAATTAACTAACCTTACATGTAACGAATATTGTCCCGAACGAACTCTAGATTGGTTGACGTGAGCATTTAGCAGTACATTAGTACATACGAATAGCCAACATATAAGATTATTTTTATATCTCTACATAAAAATCAATTGATGTCTGTTAGTCTCGCAAAGACTTGAAAATGGCTGGACCGATTTTGATGCATTTTTTTGTTTGTATTCGAGTGGGTGATCTAAATGATTCACAGTTGGAACCGGTAGGTGACGCTGTTGTCGAGATGTCGCTAGTAGATTATATTAAAGTGTGGTGTGTCACTGTCATACAGTTACTAATAATTATATTAATTGATGAGAGTGTTCTAAGAGAAAGACTCCGTTCCCAAGTAGTTCCATTCATAGATTATCGCGGGGCTATCGTGTCGCTTGTATATAAAATTAATTGTTTATCTCACGATACGTCGACCGAGATTGCTATCCTGTCAATTGTTCAACGTGAAAAAGACTAACATATAATTTATATGTTCGATTATTAAATCCCATGACTTTATCTGCGTGAAATTTCATAGAAAATATTTGTAGTTTTAATTTGAGAAAATCCCTATCATATATGACAGCTTTCCATTTTTAAAATTGTTTTTTGGTATTAAGAATTCATTTAAAAACTAAAGTCCAAAATCTCAAAGACACGTTTATTTTATGATAATACGATGTTTGATTATTTCAACCTCACGTGAGCATATAACGGGTTAGATTGGTCGAACTTAACCTTTTTGGCACTTCTGTTACAACCATTCATCTAATTCATAATCCGTGAAAATAAGGGTAACTCATTGGTTTGGATTATAATGGCGTCTAAACGTGACATTACCTGTTTAAAAATATGTTATAACTGTGGTCATGTGACATATGTGATTTTTCTACTATAAAATGAATTTTACCTTGCTATCTAAAAAAACCTTAGATGTAAAAGGACACATCACTGTTATGACAAGTGCTAAAATTAAAAATCTTTTACAACCGACTTCAATATAAATAAAATGAGAACACCATAAATGTAGCCAATGTCAGTTAAATGCATATTATTATGGATAACTCAAAAACTATATGTTTTAATTAAATTACGATAAAATCTTTGTATTACGGGACCACGTGAGAAACACCAGCTTTCAATTAAAAAAGAATCATCAAAATCGCTTTACCTAGAAGAAAGTTCTGAGGTAACACACAAAAACATACGGTCGAATTGAGAACCTCCTCCTTTTTTGAGGACGAGAGTAAAAATTTTCTTGAAAAAAGCTTAATACGACTACGTTTGATGGATTAGTCTACCTGACTACATACTTCCGATTGATTCTAGTTGAAGTTACAATCTCTTCACTCAGGGTCAACATTGAGCATTGAGCTGAACATTGACCTCTCTCTAATTTTAAAGATTTTGAAGTTTGTATGGGTTTTCAACCTAAGGATACGTTTAAGTTTGTTAAACTATATATTTGTGGTGTGATATTTTTGAGTTTAAGTTCTCTACCACGCATATTATGTATGTTATAAATTTAATTATTAAAACAAAACTCACAAATGTTCCGATTCCTTGTTTAGTTAAGACTTGCAATCTTTCTTCAAGTCTTGCTGTCAACTTGTTACATATTTAAAAAAATATTGGAAAATCTAACAAACGCTCGTGTAATGTTTTGAATAATCAATTTACTTTTATTAATTACCGAAACACGTATTTTGTTTTAAGCTATAAAAAAATTATGTAATAATTAATAAAATTTAAAAAAAAATTATGAACGGGATGGTTAACAATAGTGAAATTCAAAAGGCTTCCTAAGGATTATAACCTAAAGCTAATAAAAAAAAAATCAAAGTTTTAAGTTCAGGTTTTCGAAAGTGATTTGTTGACATCCATACAGACCAACTGACGTCCATGTGAAATTATTTTCAATTAACTTTTTTTAATATCGAATAATCAAAATAAATAATCTTATTACTACGTCAGAAATGTTAATTGAAATCTACTCTTGTCATTGGTGTACTTTTTATTATATAAGTACAATATAAAGCTGGTGGAAGTGATTTCAGTTGAGTGGATCGCGATTTTTGATTTGGTGACAATAGATCACACTACATCTCCGCTTCGCGTTCGATGTGTGCAAAAGAGTTGTAATATAAAAAAGAATTAACAATTTGCCGCATTTTGCGTGGCTTTTGGTTTAACGTAAACACATTAAAAATTCCTCAGAGCTGTTTTAAGACGCGAAAGCAAGTCCCCATCGCTGGAACGCAACATCATTTCTGCAATTGCCTTATTAGCATAAAAGAGACGCCCCTTATCTATAGAAGCAGGCAGTTTATGAAAACTTTGTTTTATTGCATTTTGATTAGAAGAGCACGCGAAGCAGCCACGTCGGTTAATTGATATTTTTGAGGTTAGAGGGGACTTGGAAATTGCGTTACATTGTTTTATTACATCCATTTTCTTTGTTAAGTAAAATTACTATTATTTATAATTTAATTAATACTAATTAATAAAATTTATGATTGTCTACGAGATTCATTAAGTACAGAAATATTATTACGAGTTAGATTCTCATCATAATACCTAAGTAAAAAAATGTTTGGTAAGATAAAGGCTTAAAAAAAGATTAAGCCATAGTTATCTAGAAGTGTCTATTTATTTGATTTTAAAGTTTTCGTACATCGAAAATAATATTTAATAACGTTTAAAAAATACAATTAATTATTTTAGAGCCTTTATGTAGTTTCGTTTTATTTGTAGACTATTTAATTTCCCAATTCTAACTTTGAAACTACGAAAAAAAATAGTTTAAAATGAAAATAATTTACATTGACAAAACTTTCAACAAGGGCACTACACACATTAGACATAATGATTTATTGTTATTATAAGGGAATTGGAAAATATTTAACTCAAAAAGTTATTTAAATTAAAAAAAAAGTTTGTGTTCGATTACTTATCGTACCGATGCGTAAAATAGGGTATGCTTATTGGCAGTTAGTCGGTCCCTTCTCTATTTAAGCTCTATAATATCACTGGAAGCAGCTATAGCCCAAGTACTGGTAACCTACATTTTCCCGCCGGCGCGCACTCTAAATCGCACTGCAACCGTACACGGAAGAACGTAACCTTTGACACCACACTTTCACTTCACATACTACGTACCCTCACAAGTGAACTGGCCGTAGTGCTTGCCCGATGACTTGTCCCCGCAGACGACGCACTCCACGTTCTGCCCTTTATCAGTCGCCGATGATCCGCTTTGGGTGGAAGCGGCCTGGCTCGCGGGTGTCGAGGGCAGAAGTTCGTCCTCACGCCAACTACCGCGGAAGCCGAGTTCGAGAGGCGGGAGGTCGGGGCCTCTCGGAGGGCAAAGCCCCGGGCCGCCGACCCCGCCGTAGACTAGCGCTCCGTGCGTGATGATGCCGGTTGCGGTCGCGAGGCGAGAGACGCGCGGCGCGCTTGTGTGTCAAGGGTCGCGGCTCAGTCGCGACTGAGCTCAGGTCGGGCCAGGCCTCGGCGCACCGCCATTGGCCCGGTGGCCCGGGGGCAGGGAGCGAAGGCCCCGCCACCTCGACCGCGAGACCCCCTCCCCTCCCCTATACCCACCGCCCTCCCCTCATCGGGGGACGAAAATCTTTCAGTTAAGTAGCGTTGGTAAGAAAAACTGTTGGGCGGACGTATGTTAACAATATTCTTTATATTACTGGCGACTGTTTTATTTCGCAACATATATTTTTGTGTTCGATTTTTAAATTTTTTATTGACCTTTAAATAAATATAACGCTACGCTTAGGATATTATATAATTACGTACACGATACGGTATCTTGTTTCTTTGTATGAAATATATTTTTAATTGTTTTAATAATTTATTTTATTTTGAAAAAAGAATTCGATTCGTTTTTCAAGCGTAGATAATTGTTTCCTATTAAAGTCTGTAACGTATATCCATTGTATTTAAATTTATATACTACGTATTTAAGGGCTAAGAAACGAAATAATTTTTGAAGCATGGCGCTCGCTCTAACGGTACCTGAAAATCCTTAGTATCAAGTTTCCGCCGCCTCCATATTTCTGCAAGCTGCCAGCTACTCGCTATACTTAACCATCAACATCGCGCCGTATTTCCTTCAAAGTAAATAAGTACTCAGCCAATGCTCTTGTTAACATTTTCCTTTTTCATTTCTTTATTACCAGTCCAACAAGTAAAAGAATAGTCATAGTAAAAAAAATATTTATTTATAATACAACTCGAAAAGTATAAAATTGTTCTTAAATTATTATTTTTATCTAAAATATTTTACTGTAGTAAAAATTGTAACTATTAAGAATTTAAATTATGATGACTATTTTATCTTATAGTGTATTACTATCTAAAATATTTCATAATAATTATTAGATAACGTACTAATCTCATTTTAATAAATATTACTTTAAAAAAGTCTTTAAAATATTGAAATACACAAAAAAATATGAATTAAATGATGGAAATCAATTCAATATAATTCGTCAGCTATAACGTACTCGTGTAACTGAACATCTAGATGGATCTAGATCGCGCAGGGGGCGGCGCGCGGGGCGTGGCCGGCCGATCCACTCCTGCGCATGTCAATGTCGCCTCAACTACTGCGTCCAATTGGAATGTTTTGACACTTCTTGCGGCTCTATATTTGCGTATTAATCGTCACTTGTTTTTAACTTTGGAAATTAAAATATATAAATATAAAATAACATCATATTTTATTGAATTAATATTTTTTACCTTTCCATTAATTTTTATTCATAATCTTTTAAAACAATAAATTATGATATGCGCATAAAATGCATTTTTGAATATTACCAAGAATGATTTTCTCAACGTGATAACGTAATTACTTGATGGATATATTTGTATGTAAGTTTTAAAAACGCAAAGTGGTCAGGCAAGCATGTCAATGGTGTCTTTATATTGATATCCAATTTTTTGTTCGACTTAATTTTATTAAACTAAGAAACAGACATTATTATTACTCAAAATGTAGATAAGATTTAAATATTTCGTACAAAAATCTTATAATATTCTGTACTGCTTGACAAAATACGCTCTCTACGTCTTTCAAAATGTCATTGATAGGTAGATACTAGGTCTTATCAAAAAACCCACAATTGTTTTCATGCACATACCAATGCATGTATTCCTATAAAAAACTGGAAAATAAATATGATTACACAAACAGGTAACGGCGAGCAATGTCAAATGTGCTTAAAATCTAGGTCTGCCAATTGTGACCGTTGTGTCGAAGTCTCCTTACAATGTTGGAAGCCCATAACCTACAGTGAACTGTAGCAGGCTGATAGAGACGAAGAACATGCTACTATGTCAAGTAATAAACAAACAAAACGTCTTGGTAATTAAATTGGATTTATTTGGCGAGAAGTCTGATTTTTAGATTAGAGCGTTTGCTATGCCACTACAGTGTAATTTAGCAGAAAATATTTTTAATTTCGCCGTCATACATTGTTCCCCGATATTTTTTTGTCCACAGGACTCAGTTAACTCTTGATCACAACATAAAATTTCATCTTTTTTTTAAAAATAAAATAAGTATCTATGACTAATGAGCACACAGTTCACCTGATTGTAAGTGGATGCTGCAACCCATATATACCTACATTTATCCTCAATGTAGATGCATTAAAGATAGATAGCTGGATATAAGATAGGATGCCTTATCTTATGTAGATTTTTTATAGGATAAGGGTGACAAACGAGCACACAGTCAACCGGTAATAAGTGGATGCTGCAGCCTACATAGGTATCAACATTTATCCTCGATTAAAAATCAAAATAAAGATGCGTTGCCACACCTGCAGACTGCCGTATTTAAGATGGGTTGTAATGAGCGAAAGAATCAATTTACAGTATATAAAATTTAAAAATCACACAGAATACCAAATACCAGTGTAAAATAGCAGCTCAATTGTTTTTATAGGATACGGTGACAAACGAGCACACAGTCCACCTGATGGTAAGTGGTTACTGTGGCCCATAGACGTCTACATCTGTCCTCGATTACGAATTTAAATGCAGATGCACTATCACCCGTGAGGACTAAGATGGAGTGCCTCGTTTCCAATAAAAAGGGTCTCCGGTTCTCTACACGCATCATACGAGACATAGCAGCATTAAGCTGCTATTTTATTTAATTCTGTGAGAGCGTGGTCCTTCCCCGGTCGAGCCGACCCATTCGTGCTACAACTATACTACTTAGGTATATAGATATAGTATGGCTCAACAACGTAAAAAAAATAAATATATAAGTATAGTTTGTTAAAATAAAATTTTTAGGTACCTAGTATTTATTCTCCATTCTTCTGCTCCTTTGGCCCGTAGAACTCCAATACTGGACTTATTTACCTTTAATATATTATTTTAGTGCAGCTTACGGGTTCACAGATGTGGTCTGATAGATCTCCCTAGAATGTAGAGTCTCCAAAAAGTGGGAATGACGCCTTGCGTCTTTAAAATGTAATATATTATTAATACCTACTTAATTTTAACACATTGTAAGAACTTTATTTGAAACTGTCACATTTCATATAATGAAGAAGTTGCTCTATCCAGTGACACAGGCATCCGTTCACCCCGAGAGGTGAAAGTGCGGGGGTGAAGCGTCGGTAAGAGGTGAAAGGGGGTGAGATAGGGCGGGTCAAAGGTCGCGCCGCCCCGCCCCGCCCAGACCGACACCTACGTCTTTCTGTATATAAATAAATTAGGTCTTGAAGTGTTCCATACATTAAAATATTATAATGCACTATCTTAGATCGAGCTCTCGCTAGACACACGATGACTGGCCCAATTGAAAGCCAGGTTTAGTTGTTGTCACAAGTTGACAAATATTTTTGTTAAATTCATAAAAATATTGGTTCGTTGTTACTTATATTTTTATATATTTATCTCTTATCTATCCGTCCATTCATACAAAAGTACTAAAAAGCCAATAAAAGTCCACCGCGTAACATAGGCTTTCCCAACAGATTGTCTCATAAAAGAGATTGTGTCATATTTGTCACGCTTAGCACGTGGGTTGGCAACCGTAGTATTTTATCAATCTGTGTTATTATCATGAACGTGCTACTGCTTATATCCTGTTCAGTTTCGGGCAGTTTCATTTCTTATCAAGAGATAAATAAGGCAAACCGTGTAAGAATATCCACTTCCCCATTTCGTCTCGTGGGTGTCGTAAGAGGTGGGGATAAACCAGGAGATCGGCAGCAGCATCTTTTTAATAACCACTAAAAATAAAAATAACAACGACTACCATCCCACCTGCCACGCTTGGCAACAGAAACAGAAACAGAAACTCTTTTATTCAATATAGATTATAAATAAAACTTATTGATAATTACTCTTTTGTTTAATTACCGCTGGTTCGAAAAAAAACCTCTCTCCTGGGAAGAATCAGCAAGAATCCCAGCGGGACTTTTTTTTTAAATAACAGCTTACAATCATGTAGTCACAATTAACCACACAAAACAAATTAGAAATAGCTTGGTAGTGATCACCTCATCCCCAGGGATTATTATCATCCATAAATTCCTTAATATTATAATAACGCTTTTTATACAAACTTTGTTTAATAAAGTTTTTGAACTTTGAGCAGGTTCAATTTTGTATATTTTCTGGGATTTTGTTGTAAAAGCGTATACATCGCCCCAAGAATGAATTACTGAACTATGGCAATTATCCCTCTATGAGTATATGGTAGAGCCAAGCTGCAGCTATATTTATAGTATAGTTGTAGCACGAATGGGTCGGCTCGACCGGGGAAGGACCACGCTCTCACAGAATACCAGCGTAAAATAGCAGCTTAATGCTGCTGTGTTTCGTATGGTGAGTGTAGAGAACCGGAGACCCTTTTTACTGGAAAAGAGGCATTCCATCTTAGTCCTCAAGGCTGACAACTCATCTGCATTTTGATTCGCAAACGAGGATAGATGTAGATGTCTATGGGCCTCAGCAACCCCCTTACCATCAGGTGGACTGTGTGCTCGTTTGTCACCCTATTTCTATAAAAAAATGAGGTAATCTATAAGTTGGCCTGTGTTCAGCAGTGGAATTTTTATATACTGTGTCGATAGCGGTAAAGAAACTAAAATTATGTTATATTGTTGGTTTTAAAGTATCATCTTTAAACAAAACTAACCCCACTCTACAAGTTTGGTTCTTTTTTATTTTGCCTAACAAACAGTGGTTTTCGTGTATGTAATTCTGAAATGCTACAACACAATAATATATAAATGATAAGACGTGAGGCCGAAGGTGGCTAGCCAAGTCGATATTCTACAATCGTTATCGTTGATAGAAATCTATAAAAGTGAGTGACGTCTACGAAAAGTCACATAAATGAAACGCGACTTGACGATGAGATGTATGATTCTAAAATACGAATGACACTAGGCGTGATGCCGATCACCAATAGCCAAGTTAACATTCTACAATCAATAAACGAT